TCTTCCCGCCCCCCCCCCCCCCCCCCCATGTCCAAAATACTACTACTGTGTTGCTACATTTTCTATTTAACCTATTTAATAGTTTGTAAAGTTCATTTATAGTACATACTTTTTCCTTTTATGGTCTTTGCTGTGCATATGTAGTGCAACTTGCCTTGTCACTTTGTTAAATAAAAGCACAGATGCCTAGTCATCCCTCTACTAAATATGTGCAAACTTCCTAGAATGTGTCTATTAACCAACATGTGAACGTTGAGAGAATGTTCTAATTGTGAAACTCTTTTCAAAGAGCCATTCTTTGCTGTTCTGGGTGACGCGTTCAATTTAGATTTTATTTTGGGGGCATTAAGTCCAAACAACTTTTACTCACTGTGGCCTCAATTTTTCCTGTGGTTTAGGGCTATTTTTAGTTGAGTACCTACACATTTAACTACTGGCCAACTAAAAATACTCCCCCCTACCCTGGAAAAACAGGAGGTTTGTAGGAGCCAAGCATAACAGAAACTCGGTGCCTGTTGGTTCTACTCTAGTGGGATACATTGCCACTCCTTTAACCAGTTTGTTGCTGCCACTGCCCTGTCTTTGCATCTGCTGCTGTTGAACTGCTCTCCCTCAGTAAGTATGGATGCTGTTTTAAGTCAGGGGCTGCCATGGGCTCTGCCATGCTACACACCTTCAGATAAACACAGAGGCAACTGTAGACTTGAGCCGAGTTACTGTGCGTCAAAGAAAACGCTGCATACGTCACATGAGTGGGGTCTCTTGTGGTTGCACAATCACAACAAATGTATTCTGTTACAATGTTTTGTTGTTTTTCCCCGTTATAAACATCTGCAATTTTCCTTTTTTTTTTCCTCATTAAAAGTGTCGTACCACTGAGCTTCAAAACAATCCAAGCACAGTTCTGGTTTACAACATGCCAACTGACGCCTCCAATTAGCTGATCAGATGCATACGTCAGGTTGAACAGAACCTCTGCTTTCCAGGTTTTTTGCGAAATGTCATGGAAAATGAAACATTCATGCCACATTCCCTCTTCTGAAAATAACGTGCAGGCCCTTTCAGAATAAGCAAGATGCAGAGATGATCTACAATGCGTGGTTTGGGGCTGAACTTCATTATAGTTTCTGGCTCTTTCCATAAATGTATTCAAATGTTCCAAATGCAGTTAATTTATTCTTGTTGCAGATGTGTTTGGGACAGTGGACCCTTTTGGAAGCAAGGGGGGTGGATTTGCCGACTTCAGTCAGATGTCAAAGGTTAGCTCCCAGGACTCTGGGACTTATAAATCAGTTGCACCATTAAGCATCATTTTCCACTTAAGATGTAGAAAGCTGTTATTTTTACTCTCATGATAAGTGATTTGTTGTTTTTCTCCCAGTTTATCACAGTTTTGAAAACGGCGTCTCTGGTATGAGGCCAGAGGTTTTATATTTTGCTGACATTTCTGTTGGAGGTATAACTGTCTGTGATTATTGAAGAATGCTTTCTTTTATTTTATTTGTCTCTTCCCTGATGTGTGAACAGAAGTCAGACACCCCTGTGCTCCCATCAAAGAAACCTGTGCCTAACCGGCCTGCACCCCCCTATGGTACGTTCTGATTTTATGCGCCTTTGTGCAGTGATGGAAAGTAACAAAGTACATTTACTCAGGTACTGTACTAAAGTACAGCTTTGAGGTATCTCTACATTACTTGAGTATTTTTATTTTGCACTACTTCATACTTTGACTTCACTACATTTTAGAGGCAACAATTGTACTTTTTGCTCTACTTCATTTATCTGATAACTTTAATTACTTTTCAGAACCAGATTAATACAAACGTTTCAATATTAAGACTTTATTGGTCTCTGATGGAACATTCACAAGCTACCTAGCAGTATGTAAAGTACTTCAACTTATAAGCATATAAGCGTGTTAAAACTAGCGCCCTGTTTACCAGCTGTAACATTAAATGTACACAATCATGCATCAACAGTTATAATTCACTAATATGATGTACATTAATGTGCAGTGGGCCATTCTGCCATGAGTGTTTTTATTTTTAGTATTCCAATTATGTTTTAATGTTAGTAACTTGTACTTTTACTTAAAGGATCTGAGTACTTCCACCACTGCCTGTGTGTGTGTGAGTGTCTGTGTGTTTGTGCTTTCAGCTTGACTTGACATTATTGATTCAGTCAAGATCATAATTAGCTCATGATGCTGGTTTAAACCAGTTGAAATGATTTATCATCCAGTGTTTTCAACTCAACTTTTATTTTCCTTTTGCTAATTTTAATGGTTGGAACATGTCACAGAAATGTAGTGGCAGCATTGTTTTTGAACACTCACTGTGAGTGACTGTTGGCCTCCTTATCAGGGATCGTTGTGTCCTGATGCTGTGCTGAAAAAGTTGCTTCCTTTTTGAGCTATGAGAGGTCGGTGAAAATAATTTCTTCTTTTGAAAGCTGGAGGCAGACACGGAGAGTAGCAATATGGGTTTACAAAGTGATGTGACCCTGTTATTGTTGTAAAGGTTTTCATTTATTTTTGATTTCAACAGTTGAAATCGTCCAGTACTGTGCCAGTTAAATGTGTCAGTGGTGTGATGAGATTAAGAACCACTATTTGGATGCACTGAGCTTCATGTTCATCTTGGGTCTTTGTGTGTTTGTCAAGAGACGCAGTGCCCAGCACATGCCCTTCCGCTGTTACCTTGCACTTGTTCTTTTAGCAGAAGCCGCAGTGTGAGAAAGTCGGAGTTCCTCTCCGCTCTACCACACAGAGAAGGGCAGAGATGAGTGTCCACTGTTAGCCAATAAGCTATCTCCGGAGATGTGCCTCATACGAGATGAGGAAGTGAGAAGCCCACTCTCTAAGTTGAAGGCTGTTGGTGAGAGTCTGCATCTCAGGGATAATTGCACAACTAGTTTTGGTCCAGTAAAAAGTGCAGTTTGAGCTATTTGCCTACAAGTGTGTTGCAGCAACCTTTCTGGCAATTAAAACGCATGTACTGATGTTTTAATCGAGCAATGAATAACTAATTGAAGTTGGAATTGCTATGGTTGTTGTTGATTATTCAGTGGAGCCCTTTGTTAGCTGGAAGCTGTTTAGTTTGTATCTGTTGCCTGTGAGGAATTGTTGCAAGTTTGAGAGATAAGCAGCCATGGCCAGATGATAAGGGTGGGTCCATAGTTTGATTGTGTGTTCCAAAAAAGCAACACTGTGCTTGTTCAGCTTCAATGCACCAGTGAGCTTTACTCAAAAAATGTGGTTAACACCTTTTTTAAACCTGTATCACTCTATTCTGAGCTTAAAGATGTTGGCTTCCTGTGAAAATTTAGCAAGGCAGTATTACACAAGTCTTTAAAGTGTGAAGCTATTTCCCCAGGGGTCTATAACGGCTGTTAGCCTTTTTGCTACATGGAATTGTTTTTTATATAAATGTCTCCCTTCTCCAGTAGGTATGCTCAGTTTGGGTGCATCAGAGCCGTTCCAGAGCGTTTGCCCCACAGCAAACAGTACAGACTCTTTTGTTCCGACACACACGAGCAAAGCATCCAAAGACTCTCCTGTGGGTTTAGCAGACTTTGGCTCTGTAAGTGTAACCTACTTACAGTTTTCTGTTGGATCGAGGATTATTGTCTGCATGAGCTGCTGATCTCATGGTCTCACTCTTCAGAATGGAGAGCTTCATAAAGCTGAAGATGTGAGCTCTCTGTTCCTGGGTCTCATGTTAACTGTAGAAAGGGATCACAGGGCTGCCGTGTTTACTGGCTGTTGACTAACAACTGACAGAACACCACAGATTTTTAAGGGCTTGATGTGAAAGGGGGGGAAAAAAAGTGTTTGCATGGCTGACTCAGACTGTTCTTGTACTTGTCTACGTAGTCAACTGTTACCTTCATCCACCTGGTAAAGGGAACTGCATGTTGCTGTCATCTCTGGCTTCAGCTTTTGATAGGGACATTGAGTCAGGGGACTTATACACTTTCAGTCAGTGACTTAGCAAACTTGCCTGGTCAGGTAGCACTCAAGGAGCATTTTTTAATGTCTTGAAGTACAAGCTAAAGGCTTATTTGCTGTCAAAGCATGATATGCCTCGAAGCAGAGAACACCTGCTTCTTTGTCCCGTGTCTTCCGCTTTGGCTGAGTGTGCTCTCAAGTGGAGAGATGATGCATGGCAGCTTTTTTTTTGTCTGTTTTGTATCATTTGACATGACATGAATTTATTTTATCCCTCATGCTAGCAAGACAGCCATGAAAGGGATTTGTGTATTTTTATATCGAGCTCTGTATTATAATCTTTGTTTTTCTGCCAGGATCTGAACATGTTAAGGTAAGACTGTACAAGGGTGTGGTAGTTAAATCCTTTGCATGTGAAAAATCTGTCTGCACTGCGTAATTTGTGTATGGTGATTCATGAGTGCAAGTATTTTCAGTATATATCCTCAGTAGCATTGATCCCAGCACTTAATATTGAATCTAATCACTGTGTATTGTGTGAGCAGATTTTTTTTTTAAGCTTTTAGTGCTGCTTTCTTGGCTTTTATTTCACAAGTGAAGTGTAATGTTTATATTTTTGTTTTTTAGCTTTTTGCTACATATAAAATCATTTAATTTGTTTTTGACATTCTTCCCAATGAGAAATGTTTGATTTTAACTTTGCATCTATTTTACATCAGTTTTTGTCCAGTGATTTGTCTTTTTTTTTTTGTTGGTGTTTTTGAAATTTTAACCTGCTCTTTTGTGTATTTATCCACATCTAATGTTTGTTTCCTTGCTTTAGTTTGGAAGTGAGAGGCAGCAGCTGCAGTGGGCCAAGTGGGAGAGCGAGCGTGAGGAGCAGGAGAGGCTGAGAAGGCTGCGACTTCAGGAGGAGCAGGACCTGGAGCTTGCCATTGCTCTCAGCAAAGCTGACATGCCCAGCGCCTGAACAGGCATGCCCCACCACAGCTTTTAGTCCTCTTCCTTCTGCCTTACAGTCCTCCATTCACAGGCTCATGACGGCAGCATCAACACTGGCCCAACCTGACTAGCAGCCCCTGTTACCAGTTTGTTTTAATGACCAGTGGTTCTCCAGCTATGACAGGGCTCATGTCAGATGACTCCATATTTAGCAACCAGTTAGGGTTAGTTGCTCCCAAACTACACAGAAACTACAATCAGGGACAATATGGAGTCACTTTATGTAAGCCTGGTTTCATCCTGCAAGAACATAACAGTTAATGCAACCTGCACCAACAGGGTACTTGAATACAACCATATCTTGTTATGGCTAATCACCCTGCCTTATCCAAAAGCCTGTTTGTTACCAAAAAACCCAACCTTTTAAGAATGTTTTAGTTTTATTTATAACAAAAACAATGAATTGTGGTATATGAAGTACTCGTAAAGTGTGCCGTTTTATAAAATCTTTAATTACTTAGAAAATTTCATATTAAAAATCAAACCATACAAGGTAACTACTGTTAGCCTGGCATTGAGTTTGTCTAATTCCAAATATTTTTGTTTTGTTTTTTTTCAAAGAAACCTTTGTTT